TCCTAAGGCTCTCTTCGCTTAAACGTCTTTTTTTCACCAAGTCAATCGTGGGCTAATCTCAAATTGCCAATACGACTTTTTAATCTCAAATTGTCCCATTTTGTACACTTATTAGGATATGCCTGCACGTGCATGTGTCTCTTCGTGGCCCTTGTCATGCGTGACCTCAGAACGTGGCCGGCAGCGGTCTCGCGTGTTCTTTTTATCTTGCCTCGAGGACAGCGCAAGTGTTGGACCCTCCTAACAGATAAAAAAGAAACATGAAAGAAAAATATTGCAATTGCATGCTTGCAAGCGGAGAGGGAAAAGCTGGTAGAGTAGAAATAGTAAAAAACATTGTTACTTAAAAATATGACTACTCGCGCTGAACAAGTAGTATAATAAGTATACTTAATCACTATTCATAATACTCACCTTCGTGAGTTAGATTTACAGCGCACAATAAAATGATTGCTGCATGTCCAGTTTGTTCGTAAAAGTGTCACACAGGTGGAGAAGACAACTACTCCGAGAAGAAAATTCCACGCTGCAAGCTCTCTGTTACAGACGAAAAATGTGCGTGCATTGATCCTTGTTCTTAAGGGGATGATCGCGCATAGTTGGCGTGTTAGCTGCGGTTAAAAAATGATCGTGGAAAAAACAACTATCCGGGCCATTCACAATACGAAAAGTTCGCATTAGATCCCCTCGTAGTTGCCCACGGGGGAGCAGAAACAATTTGCGACTTGACAGTCTGCTTTTATAGGGTGGTGTTCACAGACCTTTTACCATTTTGGATACTGGCCTCTGGATCTTCTTGAACACGGTGGTCTCCATGCCTGTATAGCAACTTCTAGGTGCGGCCTAACGAAGCTTCCAAGTATCTTGGAAAATCCCTCTTTTTCAAACCCCATAAAGGCTCGCTTTTATTAGTTGAATATGGATCTGGCTGACTTAGTCGCCTTCATACAGTCCAGCGTTGATTTGAGTGTAGAAATAATCCACAAACCCAAGTCCTTCTGACAGTCACTTTGTTGCACTGATGTCCCGCTGTAGGGGTCTAAGCCGTGTTTGAGCCTAGATCACTACAATCATCAGGTCGAATCCCAGGTTAGAGGTAAAAGGTAGAAGTCACCAGAAGGAGTGGTTTATTGTGTACAAAACTTGCAGTCTCAGGTGGCTGGCTGGCTAGTAGCCCTTGTTGGATCGGGAGCCCCGCCGGGTGGGCCTCAATCCCAGCGGCGGGGAGGAGTAGTCGGAACAGCAGGAGGGGGGGAAGGGCTGCTCCGTCACCAAAAACACAGATAGAGAGGAGGATATATAGATCCACCGTAGGGAGATTAGTGTAGCAGACCTTTGCCGCTGCAAGGGTGGCTGAGAACGCGACGAAGACGCTTCTGCTGTGGTCCCCGTCTCAGATAG